AAATAGTAAGTGATTCAGAGTGCATTAATATATGACTTTGGGAAGTACATTTTTATTATAAAAATTATGAGATAATCAGTAAAAAGAATGTAATACTGCTATAGTTACAATGGCATGTGATTTTTTTTAATTTACTGTGTATGTGTAACATGGTCATTTAAATTTTCTATTCAGATATTGTTTATAATCATTGTCTGTATTCACACTTAACTATGGCCTTTTTTTCCCCCTAAATGTTCCATTCAGTAAATAGTAAACCTTTTGCAGTAGTATAAATCTAAAATATGGCATCTCTACAGTAAAGAGATAGAGAGGGATTAGGTGGAAGGAGATTGCAATGAAGGGGAGCGGGTGGAGAAGGAATGTCATTATGTTCTTAGAATTATGGTTAGTTGCAAATCACACTGAATCTGTTAAATACTAATGAAAAAATTTTAAAAATTAAATATGAGTGAATGCATCACTGTAGGATTTCAGCAATTTAAACAAGAGCATCACATCCCATGAAAAGTTTAGTGATGAAGAACATCTGTTGCTCTTTAGTTACTTGCGCAAGGAGTCTTCAAAAAATTCATGGAAATGAGTATTACAATAAGAAACTGGCATTGATTTCAGAAATGTTTTGCACCAACATAAACTTAATTATTTGTTCTCCCCCTATGAGCTTTCTGAAATCCCCTCAGATGTCTACTGCACAGTAGGGGTAACCAGTTGTCTACTCTGAGTGATGGTAGCCAAACGTTTGACATTTAACAGAATAATTCTCATGTAATAATGTTTGTTAGCTCTTTCTTTCCTGAATAGCATCAATGATGAAAGAAAATGTTTAATCTTCCAGCTTGCTGTAGTTTAAGAGCACATATTTCTTAATCATTTATTTGACAAACAGAAAAAAATTTGACAAAAAATATTTTGAGCAAGTCAGACATAGAAGGGCATTTGTATCTTGTTTTTGTTTTCTGATTTTAATTTTTTCTCTTTAAATTTTAGTTCCCACATATAGGGGAAAACATGCAGCGTTTAACTTTCTGTTTCTAGCAGACTGACATACTCTAGTCTTAATGATCCATTTTTTTAAAAATATACTATTCATGAGTTAAACTGGAAAATTTCATTTGACTAGTGTTCATAGCCCTTGCCTGTATTCCTACGGAACTATGCTCTTTTTTTTTTTTTTAACCATTTACGAATTAAACTTTTTGTTTAGTGGAACATTAAGCCTTTGATCAAAGTGTAATTTAAAAGTATATACCTCAAAAAGCAGGATGCAAAAGAAAGGGGCTATTGCGATATTCTTAGAATTCTATGAAAGATATTAAGCCTGCTCTCTTACTAACGCAAGAACAAATAAAAATCAGTTTTTAAAAATCCATAGAAGTCAGATCCTGAGCAAGTATCACACTTGCACCACCTTGCTTTCTGAAACTTGCTATCCCATTCACAGATGAGGAAACTGAGAGCTGGTATTACTAGCTTACCTGAATTCACATCTCTCCTAGTGAGACACCTGTAATGTAAACCATGCCATGGCATGCTGTTACAGAGAGTGATGGAGATCACACTGGACAAAACTGTGGGATGTTAGGAAGAGTTTTAATTGTTTAAACTTGGAGACAACAGCTCCTGCTACATTCCAAGAACCACTTTGTTGGGAGGGTGGCTGAAGTCAGATATTTTTGTTTGTCTGTTTACTTTTTAAGCTGTGATCCTCCAATCAGATTGAGAGGCAAGCAAATAGTACAAATACAGTTTCATCATGAAATGTAACACATTTAGTAATCTAAGTGGCAGCAGGCAGGAAGAGAGCTGCAGGAACCCAAAGTTCCTGTGCAGTTCATCTAAGTAACACAATAGGATGCAAGAGGGGCCAGGTGCATGGAGCCTTCAGAGCCATTTGTGTGCTGTCAATTAATCTGAATGTTGCCCTGGAGACAGGAGGCAGGGCACATGTGGGCAGCCTCTAGAACTGTTTCTGTGCTGTCAATTAACATAAATGTTGCAAGAGGAAGTAGCAAGGGTGGGGTTCACAGAGCCGCAGTTTCCAACTGTCTATATTATGGTGAGCCTGTGCACTTCTATGGGGTGCTGGCTGTCATCTGGCTACACCCCATCACATGGACTTGGAAATCTGTGTTCTTAAATAGTCATCCTTGCCCATATAAAAAATAATTTTCAAATCTTTTCAGTCATTGCTTTTCAGGAAACAGACTTTGGCTCACCAAATCTCAGATTATAGGAGAGTTGATTAAAATATAAATTCCCTGGTACTCTAGAGGTCATGATTCATCATGATTGTGAAAATGAATTTTTTTAAAATAAGTGAGAAGCACAGCTCTACACCACCTTACTGCTGCAGGGTAGAATTGTAATGTAGCACTTCCTCCTTAGTAGCTGTTGCACCATTTGATACATGTGATCACCCTCCTTGTAATGCCCTTTACTTCCATATTGTCTAATATCCCGCTTACCCCACTAATCATTACTGCAAAGTCTCCCCTAGCAGGTCTTCCTTCTGCTGCAGTTCCTTGCCATGGTGCCCATGGCTCCTTTTCCTCCAGTGTCAATAATTGTGTTCACTTCAGAAGCCTTGCAAATTACTACTGCTTCCTCCCCAGTTGGCAGTTCTTTCCTGAATTCTAGCTCCATGTTTTTGTCACTTTTGTTCTAAATCCATGGATGCCTGTATACCCTTTAGGTCTTAAATTTAGCTTGCTTAAATTGGACTCATTATCCTCTCACTCCAAACTTTCTCTGTCACCATTTTCCCCTAGTGCAGGTAATGCTATCATTAGTGTCCTGAACTCAAAATTTCAAAACTGCATTCAGGCTTCTCTTTTCCTCCTACCTCCATTCTGTCTGTCAGTCATTAAATCCTGTAATTTTCATCCCAGAAATGCCATTTGAATTGATCATTATACTCTCAATCCCCACTGCATGTCATATTCTCTTCTCTTTTACTGTATATTCCATACTAGTTTTCCTACCATTCAGTTTTCCCCAATATCCAGTCCCCTTTCCATACTGTACCACAGTTACTTTTGTAATAAAAATGTCTAAATTTTCCATTCCCTGCTTCTCATGGTTTGGTGGCCTGTTGCTTGCATTGTAAGATACAAAGCTTGTGACCCATTCTAAGCTTCTCATCCTGTTTCTCTTGTATCTTCATCTTACCACAAAGCCTAGGAGAGACCTTCAAAAAGCTTGTGGCAAATGGGATTAAAATACAGACTTAAGTGTGAAAAGTTTTGATATCCCTGCGTACAGACTGCATTTTATATCCATGCTTCTATGTGGTAATTAATACAAATTCATCACCGCAGCCCACCTCACCACAATGCATCCATGCACATCATTCCATTAGCTTGAGATCTCCATACTTGCAGGTGAGGATAGCCATTCTCAGCTCTGCATATTCATAGCATTTGCTTCTGAGAGATTGGGGATGTCATAATTAAGAGGGTGATGAAACTAAACTCTCTGGGATAATAGTTCTAATTACTAGGTGACTTCTCTGTGTCTCTGTTTTTTTTTAATCCCCAATATTGAGACAATAATACTGCATAGTGTATAAAGTTACTGAAGATAGAAGTAATTTCTATACAATATTCCTGATAATAAGCATTTGCTGCTGCCTTTTTGGTGATTGTGATAAACACATTCCTTGGATCAGGGCTGAAGGGATTTATTATTATTGTCAGAATCAACCCAGAGAGCCAAGGTCATAGCAAAATAAATGTATGTTGCCAAAGGCCTAGATCTAGCATAGAGTTACCATGGCTTAGCCACCTCATCACATTTCTAGGCTCCATTTAGTGCTTTACTTCGTGAAATACCCCTGAATCTTGGACATACGCTTGTTAGCAGACTGGCAGTACCTTCACTAGCAGTAAAGGGTTGTATACTATATAGCCTTTACTCTGGAAGTTTGCTTTTTTGAAAGTTGACTGTTTGATGACACAAGCTACAGGTGTACCTTGATGTGAATCAAGCTGCAGACATAGCTGGGCACTTAGGGTGTATCGTAAGGCAGTTCCTTGTCAGAGTCAGAGATCTGGTTACTGCCTCTGTCACACTGAGGGCAGCATTCCAAAGAATATTAGTGCTGAGACTGTGAAATGTAAGAAGTTAGTGAAACGCTTGCAGATATTTTTATTTTTATGAAACTGCTGCAAACATAGTTGGATATTATTTTTTGTTTTGATGGTTTTAGTCTTGGAAGCATAAATATGAATTGTAAGGTTTCTTAGCAGCGTTGACTATTTGAAACAACTCTGTGGTAAATCATTTTTAATTCTATCCTAGCTTATTAGTTTTTATTATAATATTAAATGTTACTTTCTTTGAAGTAGGACATACTTGCATTAGCTTTGATACTTTCTTATCCATCAAAGGAATTTGTGGCTTAGAAAATTGCAACATTAAAATGGTAAATGAAAGTAAATTTTGAAAACTTAGAAGAGAAAAAGAAGCTTCAGAGTAGAGATCAATACCACAGGTGTTTACACACACATATGCAACCTACTTGAAGTTGAACATATGCATCTACCGATAACAAATAGATCTGAAAATAAAAAGAGAAAGGTAATAATAAAAGCAACAACTTGAGTTTCTGTAACACTTTACAATGTGCTTTCTTAAATTGATGGGAAAAATGGATTTTAATCATGGGAATTTTAGTGGTTGCTTTTTCACTTAGCAGTATCTCTGTGAGAGTGAGCAAATTTCTAAACTGCCCAGAACTTTCTTTTTTTGGATTTCTCATATATGAAATGACTATAACAGAGTATTTTTGAAGATCAAAAACTTACTCCTGAATCTAGATGTAGTCCTTTTTAATATAGTCTCTTAACCAGGGCTGTACAACATTCATAGAGCCCAGCTCTAGTAAAATATAGCCTACTCTGATTTTAAAAACCAAAAATGGATCCATTTTTAATATCTTACTAAGGAAATCCTAATATTGCAATGTGATGTTTATATTTGATTTTTTTTTAATGTAGGCAATGAATTTGGGCATCCTGAATGGCTAGACTTCCCAAGAAAAGGAAATAATGAGAGTTACCATTATGCCAGAAGACAGTTTAATTTAACTGATGATGACCTCCTTCGCTATAAGTTCCTAAATAACTTTGACAGGGATATGAATAGATTGGAAGAAAGATATGGCTGGCTTTCAGCTCCGCAGGTAAGCTCTGTACTCTGAATGTGTGATTTTAGCCACCCGTGCTCTGCATGCTTAGAATGGCAATTGACTTAAATCTATATGCAGATCTTTTAAACAGCACTTTATTATTCAGTGTGTAGTGCCCTGTGACATACTTCAGGTTGTCACAACATGTCACTGCAATAGATAATGAAAATCTTAAGCATAATGCCCTGCTTACATTTCTGGTTAGTTTGTTGTTGTTTTGTTGTTGTTGTTTAAATTTAGTAATTTTCATTTCAGCTGGTAAAAAATAAATGACAAATGCTCTGCATGGAGCCCATTTGGGAAATTGCTCTAGAAACATCTTAATTGTTTTGACTGTTTTTCTTTATATAAATAATTATGCTGTCATAAGGAAACTACTTTGACAACATGTAGATTCCTTTATTCCTTCCCCCTCCTCCCTTTTTTGCTGGTCTGTAACTTGTCATTTCAATAGATGCCATTATACTGACATGCTGTTTTGTATTTTTACGAGCTTGGATTCCTTTGGAATTAAAGCCTCAGTTTTCAATAAGTTTTAGAAAATGTAATTAACAGGTGCAAATTTTTATACAGGCCTCTTTTATTTCTTCGAAAAATTAGCATGTAGTGTGTATTACTTATAATCCATTTACTTTATACTGGTGTTCCTTGAAATTATCGTTGATGCATTTCTACTTTGGCATCTGAAGTGTGTGTGTGTATGTATGTGATGGCTGAAGAAAGGAAACTCATATATTCAGTGAGATTGGCTACATGACACAAATGCCCTAATCACATCTATTATTAACACTCTTTACAGAAGAGAGAGCAAAACGATGCACCTTTTCAGTAGGAACAGTGATGAATACCAAAAGGCATGTTGTTTACTCTGGAGGCTTAGTTCACATTTCTAGAGTACCAACAGTGGTGCTGCTGCTGTACAACTGAGTCAGTCCTCCTCCTAACCATGGGGTTGGGCAAGGGCCACGATGACAAAGCTTCTCACAGCTAATCTTAACTGTGTAATGTGTTGAAATAGGAATATTTACAATGCTATTTCTTTTCAGATCTTCTCTTTTTGTTAAATCAAAAAGCTACCATAATGGACATAGTTTGCTATAGAATGTAACATGTTAAATTTGTAAAATTTGAAAGGTAACATGGCAAGTTCAGAAACCAAATATAATAACAATGGTGCATGTTTGTTTGTAAAGTCATTGGATTTATGTCGCCTCAGTAATCTGAAAACTAAAAACACAGTCTTAAACCTCACTTGTAAATAAGTATAATACATGCATAAAAATATATTATAAAGGTATTGGTTCCATCTTACTGCTTAAAACCTAAGCCCAGCACTCATCCTCTATTTGTGCATTGCTTAAGGATGGTAAGAAGCCATTGAGGATGTGCTGTATCCTTTAAACAGTTTTGACGTTGTTGTTAACTTTTGGTGCAACAAACTTCTGCATGAATAAAAATCATAAAAGTATGGAATTTTCATTTTGGTTGATAAAACCATTAAGAGAGATACACAATACAGAATATGTGGTTTATATGAGAAAGATCAACATTTTGAGATTTGATTATTGTTTGTCTATACTGTTGAGAAGTAGCAGTTTTTTCTGCTTGTTATATGGGTTGTCCTAATGGGTTATGAAGCCTGTGATTGTGAAGGGAAGTGAAAGTAAGCCCTTAAAAACTGAAACAAATAAACAACAGCAACTATAAATAAAGAAGGAGGAGGATGCATAGAGAATTGGCAGGAGGGAGGATTGGGAGAGAGATATCATTGATCACCTAAGTCTGCATTGTGAAATGTGTGAAAATTGTTCACTTCATAGAAATAAGTTACTCGAAAAAAGTATCTTTAGTAACCTCAAAGTGTAACCATGAACTACAGTGAATCTGTTCTCTTTATATTGATATCATATTAACATGATAATTATTGAAAGTTTTTTGTAGAAATGCTCGACATTTGCTGTAACCCTAATTTAAGGTAAAAATGGAATGGCTTAAAATGAAAGATGGAAACAACTTTTTGGGGGGATATAATGTACTTGTAGTGACAACTGATGTGATTTAGAGGTAACATTTGTGCTAATTCTTGCAGGCCTATGTGAGTGAAAAGCATGAAGAAAATAAGATCATTGCTTTTGAGCGAGCAGGTCTACTTTTTATCTTCAACTTCCATCCAAATAAGAGTTATACTGATTACAGAGTTGGAACAGCATTGCTGGGGAAATATCCTTTTTACTGGCTCTGTGTATGTGTGTACTTAATATTTTATTATATCGTAGAGCATAAGGAAAGCGAATGCTGATCTTGTTGCTAGTGGTTTTCAGTTGAAAAACTTGAAATACTTGACTGATAAATCTTCACTGAACTCAGTTATAGAGAATTCTCCCCAAGATTTGTCCTCGCTCCAAACGTATGATTCTGAGCACCCTGTGTGCCAGTACACAACATGAAAAGCAATTGATTATGATTTTTATTTATAAAAAGTGTTGTAAGTTGTTTCTGAAAGCAGGTACTAGCTATAAATAATATCTTCCTTCTTTTATCTCTCTCTTAAAATGCAAGATGTGGCTCACTTTTTTAGAATTGAAATTGTTAAGGGAAGCTGGAGGAGAAGTGTGAGTAATTAAAATAGCAAACAGAATGTAATGTTCAGTATATACTCACTTACTCATTATTTCATTATTTTGTTCATTTCACACATGCTGGCTGAGCTCCTATATGTGGAAATCCTGTGTGCCAATTCTGGGCTGGTTACTGGAAAGATGGGGAGTATATCTGGCAGATGTAGTGACTGTGGTCATGGAGCTTCTAAACTAGTGAAAAAGACAAGTAGTAAGTTTTAGGTAATTGTTATAAAAGAACAGTGCAAAAAAAATGCAGTATGTTTAAAGACATTATTGTTACTAGATCTATCAAAAGAAGTCTGACAGATTCAGAATGTAACAAGAACCAACCCAATATTTGAAGCAAGCAGAAGGAATAATATGCTTCTCCACTGAAGTCCCAGAAATTAACACCTGCCACCTCAACAAGATGCCCGATGACAACATCATGTCCTGTGTGTCAGGGCATCTCCACCTCCAGTAAGAGAAACCCCAGTACAAATTAGCTGAAACTGTAAGGAAATGTATTTGTCACATAATGGAAATATTATGGTAGAGTGGCACCAACACTGAAAATGATGTTAAGTTCTCTGGTTCATGACTCTCAGCATGTCAGCATGTCAGCAATGTCCCAAAGGTGCTAGCTGCTGTAGTTATGCGACAGTAGCTAGTTTCTAGTGCTGCCAACCTTTAGATTCTTCAAAACAGTTTTTTTTTGTTTGTTTGCTTTCTAGAATAAATTCACTTTTCTAGGAATTTTCTTTGGATATTCCATTCATTAGAATTAGATGTCACATTTCAAAAAAAAAAAAAATCTAACAAGTTATTTGGTGTCATCATGAACGGTTTAACAAAAGTTAGCCCCTAGACTCCAAAAAGTAAATATTTTGGTGAGGCAGACACCCAGAAAGATCCCTGCTAGAATAAAAGGAAGGAAAGAACTTGTAGCTACAACTCTGTGGCTTCAAGAGGCATGAGTGCTGTCCCACATCCATCAGACAGAATTTTAGGAGAAGTTATAAAGGTGACAGATACCACAAATTCTATTAACTATGTGTTAATAATGTCAGCCCTAATTCCAAGACTTCTATCATAAAATCTTAGGTGTTTGGGGCCTGCTGCAGTAGCCTATTGCTAAGGTCACAGGGATCCTGTATGGGCACAGGTTCATGTTCTGGCAACCCTGTTCCCATCAGATCCCTGCTTGTGACCTGGGAAAGCATTCTAGGGCAGCCCAAATGCTTGCAACACTTCATTCATATAGGATACCTGCAAGAAGATTGTGGTTCCTTGCTTCAGACTGATTCAGCTCTGGCCATTGTGGCCACTTGGGGAGTGAATCAGCAGACACGAGATCTCTGTCTCTGCTCTTCTCTGTATAACTGACTTTCCAATAAACAAAAAAAATAAATCTTTAAAAAATATCTTAGGAGTTTCAAAAGTTCTGTTACTCTCTCAGTTCAGTGCAGAAGTCCCAAAGGAGAGTTATACGTGCGCATGTGCATGCACGCACACACACACACACATCCAGAGAGAGAGAGAGAGAGAGAGAGAAATAGATTTTCTATCCACTGGCACTACCCAGATGGCCATAATGACCCCTAATGAACAAATGCCAAAAGCCAAAACAAACCCCTAATACCAAAAGCCAGGAACTTCGCTCAAATCTTTCACTTGTATCCAGAGCCCAGCACTTGGGTCATCTTTCTCTGTTTTCCCAGGCCATTAACAGGAACTTCATTGGAAGTGGAGCAACGAAGAAATGACTTGATGTTCCTAAATGGCCGGTGTCACAGGCAATTTAATCCATTGCAATGTAATGTTAAGACTTCATGCAGAATTCCTTTACAAATAACTAGCCAGCCATTATTAAAACACGTGTATATCTTATAAGATCTTACCTATTTATAAGATAAATGTTAAATTTGTCCACTTCTCATTTCTTCTGTATTGTAGGGTAACACCTGGTCTGTATTTCAGCTGTTGAATTCAGAAAGGCTCTAACATACCTTTCCAGTATGATATCTAATTGTCCCCTGTGCATATCAAACATCTCTAGTTTCTTGTATAGATTTTAATGATGGTTTCCATTCTTACCATTACATCCCCGTTATCAAAATACACCCAGAACTATGCACATTTCTCCTGTGTGGACTCTCTAGGCCTAATGACAAGGCATTCCTGCGTGGTCTGGAGGGACAGCATAGAACACTCTGTTACCTTCCTTTATCTTGATGAATCTGTCTTGCTAATAAAGTTACATCAGCTCTACTGCCAGACATCAAATTTCCTGCTCACACTGTTTACATTCAAGTAGAAATCTTGAGGTTTTCATTAAGAGTTCCAGTATTATGTCAAATCTCTTTATTCTTTGTATTTACTTAGTTCATAGCTTTAACTTGGATTTCCGAATTTAACATCCATCAAACATGAAAATGTAAAAATCAATATTAACTTTGAGCCTTCTAACAAGTTAACTGAGAATGAAGACTACAGTAAGATAGTTCCCAGTCACAAATCTAAAAGTATTGTGTTTCATATGCAGAAGACAGATCTTTTTTCAATTTCTTGATCTAAGCCTAGCCTTAAGAATTTTTAATTGTCTTTAGCATTTTACAAGTCTCAAATCTTTGTACTATTTCATCTCTCAGTCTTTATTATTTTACCTTTATAATATATTGTGTCTTGGCATTATAGAATTACTATAGACATCGAAAGTAGCATAAAAATTTTAAACTATCATGCTATATTTTTTGTCTTTATCAAAGTATTTTCTTCTGTTGGTGTTTCTAATACTGAAAAAGTGGATTGAATATAAATTTTTGGTAGGAAAAATCTGCACTTACAAGATTGCCTGTGTTAATAAAGTGAAGAAATATATCAACTTTTTAATTCCCTGCAAAGGAAGATTTTGTGGTAGAAAATTTAAGCTTTCTAAGGAAGCCATTTCAACTCCCTCTGTCACAATGAAATATAAGCCTGTTATAGGTAACATGACTGAATTCTTTAGCAGTTCCATTTTTTGAAACTGTATATCAAATAGAACAACAACTTTTGCTGAGATCTGTGGAGAATAGATGGTGACTGCCTTCCAAGAAGCCCTTGCAAGCAGGACTGTGCTGGCGGTTATTCTGGCAAGACGGAAAAGACATTTTAAGGCTGCTTTTAACTAGTCTTCAAAATAAGGTGATCCATTGGGAAAACTAAGAGACTTTTCTGATTTGTATCCATAAGATTTTGAACTTGGCTTTCACAGGGACTACTAAAGGATATAATAAGGTTTCTGTAAAATATTTTACAATTATTTTCTTTGAATAATTGTAGAAAAGCGAATAATAGCAACAGCCTTTTGCCTATCTATGGGGTCGCAGTTGTCTTTTTAGCTGCTCATGTACAATGTAGCACTTGCCAATATTCTGTAATACACTAGATGGCAAGGTGAGTAATGCAGAGCGGAGACTTAGATGTACATTGTGAATAAGCAGGTTTCACATTTCATACATAGGAGATACATACATTTGTCTGATGTGTTATATTTGTCTGATTTCACATTATAAAAAAAGTAACACACAAAGCCCTTTACATTATCAGGATCACTACGGTATTTCTTTAGCTCCATTTTTTTTCATGTAGAATATTATGAAACCAGCATTGAATCAAAAAGAAAACTAAATCTGTAAGGAAAAACTACCCTTTCTAATTTATTTTGAATCATATAAGTGGTGATGCCACACTTTAGGAGATACAGGAAAGAGCATAGATATTATAGTTGACCACTTTTACTGAGCCTTCAGTGTCTCATGTCACACTACAAGGTAGGTTGCATGCCTTTATATAACAGATAGGGGAGAGAGAACTTTAAGTAAGGAAGACTTGGCTGTAGTAGTTGATTGGTGACAACCCAGCAGTGTCTTAGAAAGTGCACACACTTCCTATTGTGGCATAGTGCCTCTTTCTGTTTATGGATATGTACATGTGATTGGGTTCCTTAGAAAGGGTGATATTGATGGTGCTAATTTTGATATAATTCTTGGAAAATCAGTAGCATAAGAAATTATACACAGATCCTTGGCACAGGTAAACTCCCCTCTTCTGTTCCTGTCCCCTCTGAGAACCCTACCAGCAACATACATACATTGGTCCCAAAGAAGTTCTCCTTTTTTTTTCTTTATACTGTAACCCATAAGAATAAAAGCAGTAGTAGAACAACAAGACATACATGTCTAAGTAAATTATTTGAATTTTTCTGCATTCTACATGGAATATAAAGACATCGTGATTCTCTGTTCAAAATGACATTCTTCTATCATACCACATCAGTTTAAGTTTATTGTTGGGTGACAGTGTTAACTTAAAACCTTATATGTATAAGGTTGTGACATGGTATGTATATTATGTATATGTTATACCATATGTATATATACCATATGTATATATCTATATACCACATGTATGTGTGTGTATACATATAACTCCTGGAGCACGAACACACAAAAATCAGATGTTTTTGAATTATTTTTTAGCATGCTGCAGTGATGGGGATATGGTGTTGGGGTGATGAAAACCACATTTCTAAGTGGCCTTTCAGAGTGATACAATATTATGATATTTAGAGGAGTG